TGGTGACCCAGTTCGGGATTCCTAGCTATCCAGATCTATCCAGTATGTCAGGATGTTCATGGACTTGCTATGCTTGGCGGAATCTTCGCAGCTGAGAGCGGTAGCGGAGCGGACTTAAGCCCTGATTGATACGGCTCCTCCCAATGACCTGGGTCCCCTGGCCACCCTGGTCCCCTCAAAATGCCTTCACCAAGTCAGACATCTCATCCTCTTAAATGAGCATTCATTTTCTAACACCGGCCAAACTACTTCCAAGTGCTTCTTGCCCTTCCCCCACCCACCCTCCTTCCGAGCCTCGCGTCCACGGACCAGAGCCTCCTGGCGCCAGGCGTGGAGGCCACGTCGGGGGATCCAGAAGGCCCCCGATTGGAGGCCAAGGCGAAGCCCAGGGGTCGCCACGTCGCCGGGCAACGATGAGAGTCGAGTGAAGGAGCAAGACGAGCAATGAGAGTGAAGGGGCAGCGGAGCTGGAATCCTGTATATTGCGCACGCGGGTTTGGGGAGTGGGGGGGGGGTTGTTTGCCCTGGGGGTTCAACCTGATTTAATTAGTGGTTCTAGCCGAACCACCGTTACATTGCTTTACTAATGATTTTGCACGATAAAACCAGGTCACCCGGTCAACCAGATTAAGCTTTGAATGGTCGAGCGGAAGCCGCGAGTCGTGAGTTGTGGGATCATGGTGGTGGGTCCTGAGGGTTCAGAAAGGAAAATGGACAGAACAGCACAGCATGCTAAGTGGCTGGAATTCGATGCACGATGCTGTCATTATGGCAGATCCGATCCAACGAAGTAGGATCCAGTCAGATCCATGATCACTCCCAGTTGTATACATGGATGGGCCGGGTCATAAATGGGGTCAATGCATGCAACGTTTCCAGTAGAATGGATGGTTCCTTCAAAGGACACCGGACCTGAACAGACGGCGATGAACTGGCTTCAGGGATGCCCTCTCGCTCGATGAGCTCCCTGTGCGCCAGGCCATACAGACACCACCAGCCTCAGGACGGAAGCAGGTGAAGGTGAGAACGACGACATGTTTGAAATGGGTCTTCGATCTCGCAGATGCGTAGGGGACTCGTGGGGTGGGGAGTGTGCCGGCAAGCTGGACAAGGACGCCCGCAGTAGGGGAGGGTCCTACAGCCAATAGCAGTAGTATAGATGATGTCCAATTCATTCAGGTTCGCAGACCGCAAAGCTTTAAGGCATCTCTTTGGCTTGGTGGTTAGGACGAGCCTTTGAATGATAAAGGCAATAAACCTGCTTGCAAGCCAGCTTTCATGTCGCGCGGTGTCTCCAATTTGCGATCTTGTTTCGTGAGAGTTGGGCATCGTACTTGGGCTGGGCATGCGCGGAGAAAGAAACAAAACGTAGAGAACACGCGGGCAGTCCCTTGATTTCTAGCCGGTGATGAGTTCATGACAGAGGCACAGCGGATCTCTTGGTCTTAGAGGCTGCATGCAGGCAAATATGACCAACACACACAAGCAACCCACCAAATGAAAGCATTCCCTTCCTCTCTTTTTGGTCTTTCCACCTTCGCGCCGGGCCCCACCCCCCCCGTGTTCTGTAAGGAATTGCGTCGTGGCCGAGATCGGATCGGGCCCGGGGTTGGGCTGTTGCACTCTGAGGGTGTCACCCTTTTCACCACAAAGGATCTGCTGGATCCAATGTGATCCAAAGGATCTGACTTCGGTTCCCACATGAGGAAGTTGGGCTTTTCTCACCGATCCTCTCTCTGGGCTGCGTGGAGGTCTCCACGCAGCCCAGTTCGAATCCGGATCCGGAAGACTCAGTAGGAAGACTCAGCTTTGGGGGGTGAAAACCGTGGGGTCCTGTACAGGTTCCCTTTAACATCCTTTAACCAATCCATTGAGTGCAATCCCTGTTGACGAACACATCACACGCCTGGGTTTCCCCAGTTCCAGTCCCAGAATGCACATGGATGTTTAGGATGTTTCCCCTGTCCCAATCACTTGCTATGTAAAGAGTCAAAACATTGCTATAATTTTGGAAACAACCATGTGTGTCTTGTATGTTCTGCGTGTGTGGCTTTCCGGGTGGAAGTGGATGGCAGACCGTCCTTTTGCGAGTCAACGGAGACGACTCTCCTTTTTGTTTTAGTTTGGGCCTCCACTTCCACGTGTTGGTCGGATCATTTTGTTCACGGATGACTGTCGGATGACTCACGAGGATCTGAACCATGGCACCAGGCCAGGGGAGATGCCTGGAGACCTACTTTTTGATCCTTCTTGGGGTGTAACCATGTGCAACCCCCCCAAAACCTAACAGGTGAAAATCAACGGCTAGTTCATGCTATTTTCCCTTTGTTTCCCAGGGAAACGGGATCAGGGGTCAGCTATCTCCTATCTCTGCCAGGCTTTGAGCCCAATGCACTCCAAAGTGCCAGCACCTGGGATTGGAGCACGGGGGGCCCAGCAGGAGAGCTTTGGGAAGTGAACAGGGGTGGGAGATGGACATGCAGTCCGAACGAGAACATGTTACAAACCAGCAGTCACAGAGCTCGGGGTGGTGTGGCTCGTCCCATCCAGTGAGTGGATGTTCTGGGAACCCCGACTACCTCCATTAAGCACCCTTTGTGACTACTGGACCTTCAAGGGGTGTCCAATGGAGGTCCCTTAGTGGTGTAGGGGCTTCCATTGGGCACCCCTTGGAAGCAGCTGCCATGTGATGTCCAAATGGCAACCACCGGACGAGTGGTGGATACTGGCCCAGGGGTGGATTTCGAGCTGTACCCTCGGGTGGCTGGGAGACGGGGATGACAATTGATGATGAAAGCAGTGCCTCATGGAGTTGTTGGAAGAATTTGCCAAACATGATTAGTCCAGAAGGGGATGTCCACCCGACATGGTGGTCTCATCTCCAACCTTCTGAAGCAGGCGCCCTTGCCTTTTGCGGTGGAGCAAGACCAAACGCAGAGCTTTATAGGTGCTTGACTCAACTTCACTTGTTTCTACAACATGTTCAAAACTGCAACTTATATGTTAAACGTTACCTCCTCACTTGCTTCCATATCATCCCTCATGGAGTCGACCTACTTGTTTCTCAGACACTTTCCACTTTCTCGTCTCAGCGTCCCTCCCCGGCGCCCTCCCCGGCGGCCACGGCCACGCGGCCCACGCGCTGGAATGAGGCTCCCAGCAGTGAGAAACTCGAGGCGCTCCGAGTTCAGCAACTTCGCTTTGGCGCCGCGCGAGTCTCGGTCGACGAAGCTTTCGCGACACGGACATGGTGGGGAGACGGACATGGGAAAGCGCCGTCCTCTTATAGGCCTTCAAAAGAACCGTGCTAGACGGATGCAGATATATTCAGATGTACAGATGAAACACATCGAAAATGATGGAAGCAGCACGACTGAATTTCATGAAATCCAACTCGCCTTGAAGTCCAGTCAGACTATATAGTTGCCACGTTCCAAGCACAGGATATTCCGAAGTTCCCTGTCACCATTTGTCACCCAAAAATGACACTTCTATACTGTATAGACTTCTCTTGATCAGTCTTTAGCTCCTCAGGGCAAGGCTTCTGGATTGCTTTTCGTGTCCTGCTTTACCACGTATACCACGTCGCGCGTGGCACGTGTCACCGTCGGTACTGAGGTGACGCCTCCCGTGCCGGCGGTGAGCAGCTGAGTTTTTCTGAGCAACGCGAGTGAACTCGTGCGCGCGCGCGGAGCGATAGCGCCATGAGTTCGGGGGGGATGCTTTGGGAGTCAACCAGTTTCGACATGGTCTTTAGGTGAGCCCCAAGAAGGAAAGTAAGGCCGCTGCCTTCACTTCAATGAAGCAACATGTTTGGACTTCTAGGATGTTGATTTCCCCAAAACCAGGTCTGACCGACCTCAGGTCTTTACTGTTTGGCATGAACTGGACCCGGTGAATTGAGGTCCTTGACCTGGGGGGAGGGTGTCCGAACTTACCTGTAACAGTCGGTAAACAAGAACATCACGATTTTAGAGAATAGCCTTTACTATCATCAGTACCATCATCATCCACTGTTACAGGGAATGGGATGTACTCAATACATATCATTGTTATGTATTTTTAGTCTAATATATCGTATGATTGCTTTTGTCATTGTTGGTAGAATCATATTTTATCTCACTTGTAGATGCTCAGAAGTCCTCATCCTCAGGTCCTCAGCCCTCCCTTGACGGTCTCCAGTGGTGGAGGTCGCAGCCGAGCCCTCTTTCCAGGCCAGCCCTTTGCCTGGCACCAGGTGGGACGACCTCAGAAAAAACCCATCGGCGGCCATCGGCGCGCTCGTTCGTGGAACTCGGAGCGGTGGTGTTTACCAGTGCAGGTCACTACTCAGAGTTGCCGCCCATGCCCGAAGCTCAGGGAGTGGTTTTGCATGGTTTTGCTTTAGAAGGGACAGATACGCCATCAGATTGAGAGGAAGAGATGAAGCGCTTCCCAAAGCACTTGAAAGTTTGAGCGAACGGATTTCACGTCAACTCGTGGGAAGATTGAAGCCTCCACTCCACATGAGATGGAAGCCTTCTATCCATTGGATCCCCGATCTCCGAATGTTGGCCCAGCACACCGCCGCTGAGCAGCAAAAACCGCTTGGAACAGCCGGAACCGCAAGCCGCGTAGCTGTTGGCTCCAAAGCTGGCTGGAAGAAGCTGTCATTCTCCCAAACACGAAGACAGGATGTTTCAGGGGCGCCGATCAGTTGACCTTTGAAGCCACCCAAATGTAGGCAAGTATCACATGGAGATACATGGAGTATCTGGCAGGGTATGAGATTATGAGACCATATGAGGACTAAAGAGAACACATTTCAGACTTCAATTATATATATATATATATATCAATGCTTGCAGCCGGAATGCACTAACATCATTAAGAATATCGTTGCACGATATCATGCATAAACTATACTCACACAGGAATCCACGTGTCGCATGTACTCAGCAGGTGCTCACAAAGTCAGCAGATACTTCGATGGTTGAGGTGCTAAAATATTTAGCCCTGGCCCAGCTGCTCCGGAAATCATATCGTTTCATTTTGTGTGATTGGCCACAAGCTGCTACCATGGCGGACCTGGAGCCCGAAGATGGTGTCGTCACAGGCGCGCAAGTTAGTTGCGTGGCGCGAGCGTGATTCGATGGCGTGTTTGGAGCTGGGTGGGTTGCCCAAACGGGGTCAATGGATCGGCTTTAAAAAAAGTCCCAGACAGGTCGTGTCAGTTTGGCCTACGGCTATGATCACTGAATTCTTAGTTTCCGGGATCAGCCATTTCGCGGGGTCCTGTAGATCAGATGACTCTGAACATTTTTGAACCTATTATATATTCGTGACTCCAAATGGCTTCATGGTTTGAAAGCTGCTTGATGTTAGACCTTTATGGTTGGGACGCTTGGTTACATCACACAACTAATTACTATTACTAGCACCTGAGGGATCGCCGACCACCTAAAGTGTTGTTTTTGTCCATAACTTTCCTATGAAAAAAACAGTGGTCATGTCTGGGTTCTAGGCTTTTTTTTAAAACGGCGGCGAGGCGACACGAGACCACCCGGAGACACTTCAGGGGACTTGAGGTGGCGAGCTTGAAGGGAGCTGATGGGAGAGAGGATTTGACGATGATTCACTCCGAAACACTCCACAGAAAAACATGAATTGCTTTGGGAAGATGGTCATGATCCACTGGGACTCGTGTATCCACTGTATCCAGTCTTAGATGAGAGACCTTGGGATGTTTGGGAGTCAGTGAAAACCATGAAAGGAGTTAGGCTGCTTTGAAGACACGGGCGCCTTTTCTCCCAACCGGTCATGTCCATGTTTGTTTTGCTTTGGGAATATGGTCATGATCCACTCATTCGTGTATCCACTATATCCAGTCTTAGATGAGAGACTTGGGGTCTTCCGATCCTGGGGTGTCCACTGGTCCATTCCGATTCCCTTCAATCCTGCAGGTGTTCCGCTGGAGATCTTCGCCGAAGGCTTGCGTGCCCGGACGGATGCCCGTCGCCTGGTGAAGGCGCCGGAGGGCCGGAGGGCGGGGGGGGTACAGGGCAGAGCGTGCACGCTTGGAATGACCGTCTTGGGATGAAATGATGGTTTTTTCCACGGTGAAAGTGGCTGAATGTTTCTTAGTGACATATAGTGACTTAGTGCAGGCTGCAGGTGGTTTGTGCAGGGCGTTTCATGAACTGGGTCGCAGAAGCAAGACTTATAAAATTAAGGTTTCTATCCTACAGTTCTACGTATTAAAACATCGGTCATGAGCATGAACCTAAGCTGCCGTTCGTTTCGTGGAGGCGGAAGCCAGTGAAGAGCGGTGTGAATATACGAAAATGTTGTGGTGAACTCAGTCTTGGGCTTTGGGCGTGGTGGGGTCCACGGACCATTTGGAGGTTGCACTATCTTTTGACTGTGCGCATGACTATATATATAGACTTGACTACATGGAAAAACGCCGGTGCCAAGCGGATCTCAGACAAGAGGTTTGAACATCGTTCACATCATAGAGGGCTTTCGAAGGGGGTGTTTGGTTGGACACCCCTTCACCGACTTGGGGCTGCACTAACATAGAAGTGAGTTCCACCCCCCCTGCTTGGTTTTCGGAAAAACATGGTAATTTCGAGTCTTTGGGCATCGGTTCCCATGAGGACGTGACTTCGGGAGTGCCATATTACACACCGCCCTTTACCAGGTTTTGCACAATGGTGATGTTGATTCTCCCTATGGGAAACCCCCCTTAGAAGGTGAATAGTGTTGTTCCTTGTTTCCAGATTCCGAGACGTCAAACCCAAGCTTACGGAGACTCTCCAACAGTCTGTTGCGCTCTTTTTGCCCAACATGTCGATACCTTCGTTGCATCGGTCCACTTTCCGTCAGGTGTGAGGGAGCCTTTCGCAGCATGCGCCAGGGACCCTCAGAGACGGAGCCCGTCCTTCATGACGGGATGGAGGGGGTCATGCATGGCTGCGGCTGCTTGGACCGCGGCTCAGGGGTTACTAAACCACCCCGGTGTGTGGGCGGTAGACCTCCAAAGAGACTTGTCCCTTCCCAACAGGCGAGGCAAACTGGGCGAAAAGACGCCAACCAAAATCAAACAAATGTGTTTTAAGAGACTAAGACGGTCTGCTCTTTCTATTTGATGATGAGAAGAGGGGGGTCCTTCCCCAGACCCCCAGATCCTCCTGGCCTTGCCAAACTGCCTCCTCCCTCCCCAAACATCGTCGCCTGGTCTAGGCGACTGCTACTTGATGGATTGCCGCGAGCAGACCAAGCGCTGCAATCGCCTGAGGGACCTCATGGATGAAACTCAGACCCTTGGCGTTTGAGGTTTCAATGCATCGGTCGGGGGTGCTTAACCTTTTGTCCATGTCGATATATGTTCCACACATATGGAGTGTTTGCCGGATGACATGCACAGCCGATCGGCCGCAGGTTGGGAGGTTTGGCTCCGAGCAGAAAGGTACAAAAATGGATAGCAATTGAGGACTAATTATGATTCTTGTGAAGCTTTAGGAAGGGTTTGAGATGGTTTGAGTACTTTGGGTGAAGTTCGGAAGTAGTTAGACTTGGCGGGATCCATATTATGATGACAGGATTCTTCGCAGGGATGTCCTCAAAATTAATAGGGCAAAACTAATAATATATAATTAACTTAATTATCACAATCTGGAGAATCTTTTATTTGGGGCGAAAGCCCCAGTGCAACCTGTAAAGGGGGGTGTGTTTGTGTTTTTTTGGCGAAGGGAAAACCATGCGGGCACATAAGCTTCTTTACTATCAGATGTTGCAGCTTCAAGTATGCTTGGGAATTCCTTATCAAGACTCGTTGGAATTTGTTTTCTTTGATGTGAACGTGACAGATCCAAGTATATAGGAGGCTCTGAAAAGAGGGTTCATGGATTCAGGACATGTCATAGGCCTTTTGTAAACACACTCCCCGAGAAAAACCAGAACTCTGTCATCATCTCAGGCCGCAGCAGAACTCGTCTCAGATGTTTCCAATCACCCTCTCAAGAGGTGAATCCATGGGGAATCCAAGTTCAGCTTCACCGAACTGGGCCATCCAGTTTGGTTTTCTCAAGTCGCGGAGAAAAAAAAACACTCCGTGGTTCTCCACAACGCGAGGACCAGAAAACTGGGCCAAAAGATTCTTAAAGTTACTGGGATTGAGCTGAATCCACACAAACCACGGAATCTGGTAGTTGATATTAGTTGTCCTCAGGAACACACTCTGGATTCTTTCTGGCGAGAACTCACCCGAGGATTGCGTGCGAGGCAGCCTTCGCCAAGTGCCGTAAAAAGCCAGCGCCGGCGTCCATGTGGCAGAGCCTTGTGCAGCAGAAGAGCCAAGCAGATGTTTTGGGATCAGTGCAGAAGAGCCTCATGAGAAACGTGGAGTTTGAAGCGTAAGGGTTTGTCCAAACTTACCTGTAACAGTCAGTAAGCAATCATCATCATGCATGGTTGCTGCTAAAACATATAAATATACTGCAATATGTTTTCTATCCAAAATACCTTATTGTTCACCACCCAAAGACTGACCGTACCTTTCTTTCTCTATTCCATGCATTCTCCCTATCTAAATGTTCAAGAAAGGTTTCTGGGATGGATGGAGTGGGGTAGACGATTTGGATATCAACAGCAAGAGTAGTGAAACCTGGTTGGACAGGAGCACACAAAAGACTAACACAGTAACAGTAACACATGGATTTTGATCCTGTTTGAATCTTCTGGTGATAATTCATGTTGTTTACACATATGTGCTAGGTTCTTTTCATGAAGCATTGTATAGATATATACTACCTCTTTTTCCAAGAGGCCACCCGACATCCTCCCTGCTTCATTCCCTTGATCAGGAAGATCGCTGAGCTGCGGGGCCAATGGTAGTCGGTCGGCGCCGTTTCCGTCGGTGCCGGCATGGCAGACCGGCGCGGCCGAGTCGAAGAGAGGGAAACGCGCGGGAGGTGATGGCGGATGGAGCTACCGACTAGCAAAAATGGAGGAACCATGTTGTTATTCCGTGTCACTTTCTCAGCAACCGTACACAGCTAAAGAGCTGAACCGAGTACAGGTAAAGTGGTACAGGTTTGATCCACAGAGTGCACATCCGCTATGTCTTTCAAGATCCACGAACTACTGAATGAAATGAACTGTTTGGATCGAAAAAAAAGGGATGTGCTTCAATTGGACGAAGGTGTGGAAAAGGATCCAAGAAGTTGACAGGCAAAATCTTCCAGGAGATCAGCCAGATAGCTTGGGTCCTACCCACGAGAAGTAGATAACCTATTTAACTCTCTTTGAGGAGTGGTTCCCCCAACTGGCAAAAGGTTAGCCTTCATTTCCCAAAAGAACTGAGGGCGTCAGGGGTACAACTTGAGAAGTAGAAGGGAATAACACTGGAGTCCTCAATGGCCGAGGAACTTCCTCGCGAGGGGATAGCCATCGACAGGCGCTGGATCGTGCGATCAAGCGAGCGTGCTAGATGTTCCAGCCCACTGCCTTCAATAATCAATTAAATTCAATGCCGTTTGCAAGTAGAATGGCTACACGAATACTTAATATGGATTGTTACAAGGTTTGCGTGTGTTGGGGGGGGGGGGGTGATTTTGATTTTCTAGTTTCGAGTGGCGGTGGGGGGTTTTCTACTTACTGCATATGCAGTTTTTGTTTTGAAGGTGACCCTGTTTTGCATAATTATTGCAAATACTGTAAGTCTTGGGTAGTGGTGATGATTTTTCAATAAGTTTTAAGTTGTGAGGAGACCTTGCAAGTTTGAGGCCATTATTTTCACCAAGAGGTCAAAGTACATGTAGCTGGAAACATAAGTAGTCAGCGTTCAGTTTATGTCAACATCAGCCAAACAATCATAAAACAGCATCAAGCCAGCAGCAAATCCATCACGTCTACGTTTGAACAATATGTATTGGAATTTGAGGTGTAGTTGCGTTATAAAAGTGTAGGGGATCAGGGGCATTCTTTACGATACATTTTTTAAAAGTTTTGTGAGGTTTCTGTCTCGCAATTGTCAGCGCAATTTTTCCTTAAAGGTCCCTTTGTTTGTTTGGTGTGGCTCCATGGCACACTACCAACCTTCTCGTGGAAACTGATCAAAAGTCAATGACATATGAAAATATGGGAAGGAGTTGCAAAGAACAGTAACCAGCAAACTTAAATACATTTAATTAGTAAATATATGCAATAGTTTTTGTGTTTGAGATTTGTGTCTTTCTTTGAGGATTTTGTTGACCAGCCTTGGGAGATGTTTCGGGAGTTGCCTGGCTACATTTGACGGTGCCCCTATCAACCACAGGCCGGGATTAAACCAGGCGTGACAAGGTTGCTTCAAAAGCGTGCAAATGTGACAAAAAGTCAAAGAACGAGTTCTCCTTCGACTTCATCAGACGACAAAAAGTTATTCACATGTTGGTTTTCAATATTATAAGAATATGGCCTTCAGCGCGGCATCATGTTGTTTTAATTAATATGTGTTAATAACATTACTAATTCGTTGTGTTTTGATGGGTTTCGTGGGGTTTTGCTTTGTTATTTTTGAGACTGCGTAAAACCAAAGGAACTAATTTGAAAAACAAGGGCTTCCTGCGTTGATGTGTGCGTGTTTTGATGTGTTATTATGTGTTCTATGTGTCATGATTGTTTCATGATTACATTTTCGTCACGGACCTTTTTCTGAAGTAAGAATGTTCGTTAATGTGCAGACTCATTCTACATGCTTCTCCTTGTTTTTTAAGCTTTGTGTGTTTTTCTTGACTAGTGATGGTCGCAGTGCTGTAAGGGTTTGCTCAGAAGGTCAGTGTTGAGATGTTTTGCTACAGTTTTAAAGACGTTTGTATATATCACCCAAGCAACCAGACAGAATGGGTGTTGGGTGTCTTTGCCCGATCTACAATGCGTTTGGTGGAAGGATCCACCGCATGGAGCAGATCTTTGCTTCTCTTCCTCCTTCTCAGTAACAAGAAAGCTTTCAAGTAGAAGCTACTAGGTGGAGGCCATCGCTATTAGGCTGGAGGCCATCGCTATTAGGCTGGAGGCCATCGCTCTTAGGCTGGAGGCCATCGCTCTTAGGTTCGTTAGGTTGGAGGTCATTGCTACTGGTAACAAGAGGCTTTCTCACGCTGCTTTTGGGTGCGCCCCGGGGTCTGATCGAAGCTGATCGCGCAGGGACCCTGCAGCGCAGGCGTGACCGCGGTTCTCACGGAGAGTTCGACCTAGTCGAATGGGATGTGGTGGATGTTGTAGAACTGGGGGGCCCACTGGTTGAGTACCTGCCAAATGAAGAGAGACGACCAAGCATATGGTTTTGTGGGGACCTGGTTTTCATCCATACCCATACAAACGACGAACGCTAGTCGGTTGGGAATGGAGATGGTCTTGGTTGCAAACATTGAGGCGCTGGGGAACTGTTGTTTATAGTTTATATAAATCTTTCAGCAGATGTTTGCTTCCCTCCAAACGAACAAGTCGCAACCCTCTGGATCCTCACCTTCAACCTGGCCGTTGGGTTACCTGCCGTTCCGGGCTAAACAGGGTACGGGGACAGCATCTCACTCTTTTCAAGGGAGATGAGCAGTTTCAGTGCTCGCGCTCGGGGACGGAAGGATGGCTGATGTGGATGGCTGTGAGCTTCCGTCAGAGATCAAACCTTTCGAGTCGAGTCTGCATCCCGGACCGCCGCCGGCGTTTCTGCAGCTGAGCACAGCTTGATAGCCTCGTCCCGCTTGTGGCAACGCAACGTGTTCGACACTCCAACTTCTTTGACTAGGCTGCTGTTGCTGAAAATGCTGGTCTCTAGAGTCGTACATTTGCAATTTGCCACACAATGCCACGCATATCTATATACATACTCTTTCTCTCTCTATCTCTCTTGCTCTCTTGTTTTTTCCTTCCCTCTCTCTATAAACACATATATATAATATATAACTATATATATATATATTATACACATGTATACATAGATTTTAATACATACATACTATACATATTATGTTTTGTTTGAAATGATCGCAACCTGTTTGATCCTCGCTTTTGAAACACCAGCCCTCCAACGTGCGGCTTCTCCAGGTCCGGGGTCAGGCGGTGCGCGCACATGATGTCGGGTCGCCACCCAGGTCGGGGCGACATGGGTTTGGTCAACTGGGGTGGATTGGTGATGTTTTCCCTATTTTTCCCACTGAAACTGAGTTTTCATCTTTGGAAACTACCTAGAGAGGTTGAGCAGCCCTTTTTCGCCCATCCCATGTGTACCACAGACCAGGGTCCGAACGTTCAGGTCTCTCAACCCCTCTTGGTAGGGAAGATGAGAAGACGTGTTCCCCATCTTTTTGACCGAATCGATGTCCGAATCGACTTCTCAGACTCTCAGCGACTTCGAAGACAGGATGTGAAAACAAACACCCTCTCCGGTCGAATGGAAGTGGATGGGCTTCAGAAGCTGGGTTCAACACGGGGAGTGGACGTCCACGGTCCTTTTTGTTGGAGGGAAGGTAAGAAGGGAGACCTTCGCGAGGCAAAGAAATGCGCCAAAGAAGGTCAATTTCTTGGGGTGGAGGAAAAAGTTTTGCGGAAGGTTCAGGGGATTGATAGTTACTGGTGCCCCTGAGGCTCGAGATCACTTGCGAACTAAATGTTTGTTGCGTTTTGTTTCTTTGGGATGGACGGAGTTTGTCAACTACTCGTATCCAGCTGTAGTGTGAATGGAGTGTTTGTAGGTCCTGTTTCAGAAGTGAGAGAGCAGCGGCTCCCTCATCGCCGAAACCATGGACAGTTCTGAATCAGTTGCACGGAATATCTATACCAACAGAGGTTGAAAGACCTTATAGGACCCTGTAGTGGTACATATAATAATGCTAGTTGAACATGTACAACCAGTTGGTTGAAACATGTGAAGAGCATTCAGACATATTCAGACTCTACCCACCTGAATTTTTGCCGGAAAAGCTTCCAAACTCCATATGCTCCCGGATTCGGCTCATTAAACAGTGGTGGGCCTTCGTTGGCTCAACCCAACCCCAAACAGATTTCATCATATGTCATCAAGATGATGACTTCTTGGATCTGCATGTTGAGAGGTTGAGAGACCAAGTTCAGGAACCCTAGAGTGATACCATGTGATACCTACGAAAATCGGCAAAAGACGAGCTCGCTGTTGATTCAACCTCTCTAGGCCTCTAGGCGAATCAAAGAACCCCAAAAGTGGAGGCCTGTTGTCAGAGCCACTGAGTGTTTCGTTATCGAGGCCAGCGATCCCTTTCGCGCAGGTCCGGGGCCTCCAAGGAGGGGAAAAGGATGGGAAGAAAATACACTTGATTCACTCTACCTCCCTTTTGGTGTGCTCTTAGGCCCTTGTGCTTCAGAAGGGATTTACATGGATTTATATGGATTTACAGGCTGACCCCTTCGCAAAAGATCTGTTCGGACAGGCACGTTCTGGTGTGTGAACTATCAGGGATGACTTCTCCCAACTGTCCCCAGGCTGTTTTGCATTCATACACCCCGAAAATTAACATGGAACCTGAGAATGGACCTTTGGAATACTATTTTCCTTTACACAGTGGTTTTCAATTTTCCACGTTAATCTTCTGGGGCCCATTCTGGGGTGTAGATTTGGCGCATCTTCCCCAACTCCGCGCAGCTGCAATTGCCCATCATCCCTCTAAGGCTTTGTCGCCAGCGCGGAGCGTTTCTCCGATGAGGCTTCGAGCTTGGCATGATGGCAGTTGCATGCATTTGCAGTGGTCTTGCTGGTCTCGCAGCTGAAGCCATGGCAAATGCACCGTGCAAATGCTTCTGCAGACTCGTGTGATATATTTGCAGAAGAAAAAGGAATCCAGAGTCTGTTTGCAGTTGCGCCCATAGGTACCCCTGTAGGGTCCTGCAAGGCCACTTAACCTCTCTTAGAAGCTCCGAACATTAGGCCAGGCACTGGTGTCCATTGTTCCATACAGGTTTGCAATTGTTTCACCCTCAGTACCAAAACTGGAACTTAAACCTGACTCATTTCGCCCCAGTGTGTCGTTCCCAGGCAGGTCACCCAGCAGGCCGGCGGCTGATCTGGTTCCGGTGGCCGGGACGGTTCCTGAGATCGTTGGGTTCCTGCAGCGGTTGGGCTCCAGGGCTCCACCACCTTGGCCCTGGGCTCTCCTTCAAGATAAAAGATAAGAACTTTTTGGGTGCCAGGCCTGGGCTTTTCTCACTGTTGTAGAAAGTCTCTTGGCGATAAGTCTAAGTACATATCCTTGATAAAAATCTATATAATTATATAATGACCATTTGCATTCAGCTGCTATTATTTGCAAAGGGGATAAAAAAAAAGAGATCAAGCAATCCAAACAGCCTTCCAAGCGCTCCTGTCCAGCTTTCGTGGGATTCTTTGGAAACTTACCACTGGATTACCAATCCACTGAATACCAACAGCAGCAGAGTTTGGGCAGGAATCCGCCTGCTACGGCCTGACAGCCATGGAAGACCCTTGAACTGAATGAGGCAGTCGGATTGACCAGCATCCAAGGTTCCTGGTTCCTTTGATATCCGAGGAGTTCTCGGTCGTTCCGGGGGTTGCACGACATCTCGACGCAGGTCTCGGTACGGCCGCCTGCATCGCCACCAGTTCTGTGCAGGACAGGGTCCAGCGGTCAGAGAGAGAGAGGGAGAGCGAGAGTGCGGGGGGGAGCCTAGTTGCCTGCTGTATCCTGCAGTACTTGCTGCAGTGGTTTCAGTAGCCGTGCCGTTTGAGAAAGTTGTTGCTGGGCCTTCATGGCGGGTAAGGCAATTTTCTTCAGCCCACTGACATATCATGAAATACTTAATCAGTGAAAGGCTGGCTAATTTGTTTGAAAGGGTCTTCACCAACGCATCCCAAAATATGTTCGGCTGGAAGGTTCTTCCTACAACACGTTGGATGCCCAAAAGATTGGAACACACAGTTTTATTTTCATGTACTGTCATGTATTATTATCATATTAGTTTACCAAAACTCTCTTCCAGCAAGAGTTTGCAATAGATGGCTGATGGCCTTGTTTGATCTTGTTTGCTGTTTCTTCACTTGGGCAAACAAATTGGCACATTTCTGGCCTATTTCTGGCCATGACATTGGTGGGCTGTGTTATTTGTCCCAAGCCTCCCAGTGGAACACATAGCTCAAACCTGCCAGGGACGCGGCCGCCGCGACCACCACGGCGACGGCCTCCAGCGGGGTGGTGCGGAGCCCGAACAGCCCTGACAGCGAAAAGCGCCAAGCGAGAGGATGGGTCTGTGGGTTAGGGGTGTCGTTGAAGCAGATTGAAGCTGACTAATTGAACAAGCATATTGGTTACTTGGACCCCCATGACATCCCATGCGATCCCATGACATCCCACATGACCTTTTCACTTCTATACCATCGACCGATTTGAAGTCCAACCCCCCCCAACCCCCGGGTGTCAAGCCAGCCATACGGTCCACACCTCCAAAGCAAGGTGAGAATCCAAGAATTGGAGCTGGAGAGAATGAAACAGATGTCACCCTTGTCACCCTCCTACGTCCGAAACAAAGATGGAGTATTCCGATTGATGTGTCTTTTTTCTCATCCCTTAACATCTTCTGACGGGGTCCTCAAGTGGATAGTAAGCCTCATGTCGATTTGTTAGGGTCATTTGATGGCACCATGGAACCACTTCCTACTTCATTCTACTTCATACCACCCCGTAGGTTGTGAGACACATATAGACGATTGAGAGTAGATGGCACAATCCCCAAAGGGGGGTTGATGATATGAACCCCCATCTAAAGGACATCTTGGCCATCTACTCTGAAACCACAAGGGCGCCACAAACGGGGCTCCTGGCATCGCTGCTAGTAAGAAGAAGCTACTAGGGGCTCCTGGCCTTACTACTAGGAGCAAGAAGCTACGAACAGAACAAAGAGGCCCACCAGGGACTCGGCGTTCCTACCTTCGTCGCCGCGGCAACGAAGGTCCGCACGACCGCGACGACGACCACGTGGCGTGTCAGCGAAGGGGAGTGGAGCGGCTTCTGGGATAGCGAGTTGGCCCTCCACGGGGTGAGCATGCCGAAGGTTTGGAGGAAGGCTTCCAACATCTTCCAACCAACAGGAGGGAAGAAAGGTGTGTCTTTTTGGTTTCAAGGGTTCATCATCTCTTTGTGGTTTTCATGACCAATCGTAGTGGTTCCGAGATAGTCCTCTCACTTGGAGATCCGACTTGGAGTCCATCCCTGGTTTTGTTTCAAGTGATTTAAGGTGATTTTTTCCTGGGATTCCAACGGCCATTCTTAAAATTGTCTTTAATACCAAAGAACCCTTGTTTTACTAAGGATTTTTGACTACAACACCAGGTCAACCTGTTTAATCCTTTTTAAAATAACCTTGGAAGGCTAGGGTTTCCCTGTGAGTGAATCTTTTGGCATCGCGAATGTGCCGTGTTTTTCACAGTTCTTGGACAGCAAATCCCAGCCTTCGATGGCGCTGATCGCTGAGGCAGATCCACCGCCCCAGTGGCGTCCTCGGTGGAGCGGAACTGAAGGAGCGTTTCGGCAAGAGGATCATCGTTCGGCTACGCCACAATCATGAAGAGCTTGAAGAATTTGCGCAAAGAATTTGGAAACAGCTTCATATTCACGTCAGGGAGAAAACAACGACCAAGGGAACTGAACACAAGACCAAAGCCCTCTTTGTTCCCCAAAAAGTGGTGAACTGGTGGGATGGCGACCGCTCATTAGACAAGTCTTGACTTGGTTTGCCAAGAGTTGTTGTTTCAACGGAACTACTTAGGCATCAGGGACAGGGGGGTGGCAAGCGTGGTGCGCATGGCTGAGGCACTCTGGCTGTGCCGCCCTCAGATTCAGCTTTTAGCCACGTTGTTGTTGTTGTTGTTGTTGCTTTAAGCCAGACAGAGGGCAGATTGGGGACTTGAATTATACAAGTGTGCGGCCTTTAGTTTGTGGGAGCAGGTGCAGTGCGGTTTGGCCAAGTGAGTTGGAAAAGATCAAATCTGCTAAAGGGGTGGGGGTGAGCTTCCTGAACAAGGGGACTATAAATAATATAAATATTTGTTTAATAATAACATGCTTACAGGTGAGGCCTGGCCCGTGGTTGTTTAGACATGTTCTATGCTCTCCGCCGGCGCAGCTTGAAAAACTCAGCGACCATGAATGATCCAGTGAGCGGAAACATGGGCGTTGGGGTGGTGCCAAGACATCTTGGGAGTTCTGATTGGCAGCTTCCGCAAAATGTGATCCCGGCGACCTAGGTTACCCGTGCCAACGGCGCAAGTTGACCAAGACGAACAACAAAATGATTGATAGGGTTCCACATCAATTGACTAATTACAGGAAGGCAATGCAAAGAACTTATCAAGATTCAATCTGGTGAAAACAAAAAAAATTGGGTGAAATGGGCCCAGCGCTTTTGCCACCTTGCGCACCGCAGAACACCATCCGAGAACGTAAAGAGATGCGAAGAATGAGAGAGTAATGAGGGAAGAAAAAAGAACAACGACATGACATAAGTGCCAGCACCTTCCTTAAGGGGACCACTAGTGCCAACCTCAACACTATGCGGGATCTCCAGGAATGACACCCCGGCAGGATGGTCCAGGTGGGAAACTGGAGAACTCTTGAATTGGCGGATCGGATCGGACACCCCCGGCAAACCCAAGAAGGAGACGAGGTGTAGGTGTGCCTTTCACTTACCTCTGTAGCTGGTAAGTGGCTCCAGGTGCCCAAACTAAAGTCATAGACATAGAAAATCTGGTTCCTTATTCGCGTGGTAATTGGGATCCACTGGCATTGGCCGCTTCATCATGCACGACACCGTTGGGCTCTCGCCATGGCACCATCGTCACGCACTCGACGTTTTCTCTGCACGTAAGCCAGAGGGTGTTGGTGGGAGCGGTTTGGGGAGCTTCTGGGAGGCCAGTTTTGTTGTTTCGGTCGGTGGACATGCACCAAATTCAAACATGTTTGAGGACAAATGCAATGTCTTGTCATTTTTCAAGTTAAAGTATGACCTTGTATAGTGCTGGCAACGGCTTTATTCACCGAGTTGTTGTTTGCTCTGCAAGCTCTCACATGTTCGCGGGGGCATTCATCGAGCAAGTGTGAGATCCTCACAAGCTCTTTTTGGGGCGGCTGTCTCAGCTATATATTATATATGTATATATATATATATATATTTGGGATTACGATGATACAGAATAACCGTATGTCACTGCGCCAAGCTTTTCAACGAGGCAAGAAAAGAGAGAGAGAGAGAGAGTGTGTGGGCACCGAGCTCAACCACACGAAACGCAATACACGGAACCCTTTGCACGATCGGTCCGATTGGTTGTCAGAGGGGTCATGGTGGGGCTCTCGATTCTAAAGAACTAAGAACTTGGGTTTTTTCCGTTGAATATAGTGGAAGAACCGTTGACAACCTCAATGGCTTCAGCATGCTTCAGCTCTAGCCTGAGCTTTGTGAAGTATTGATGCCAAAGTCTGGCAGTTCTACTGGTCCACTGCCTTTTTCTACGGCGAGGACGATGCCCAAACAAGAGAGGTTTTAGGTTGTGGCATTCCAGGTGTTGCAACTTCTGAAGGGTGGTGATGGGTTTGGTGATTCCTCGTTCAAGTTTGAGACCGGACAGGCCATTTCCGGTTAAATCTAGGTTTTTTCCCTCTTGACATGCCGGACATGAAGGATTGGATACGGCTTGGTCTGCCTAAATGTTTGGACATAGATAGCTAGAAAACATTTTTTCTTGTTTTGTGGGGGATTCTTTGCAAGCGAAGTAGGTGAATATGCTCACATACCGAACGTGGCAACAGTTGGCATAGTTGGCTGCCCAAATGTTTGAAGAAAAAGTTGGTAATAATTATGTGGCTTAGATATGTTTGCATTGTCATTCCACCATGTAAATACATATTGAGTAAACTAAGGTGTTATTCAAAATGGTGTGAGTTGATATGTTGATTAAATCCAACACTTATATACATTTTAACATCCAATTTGTAAGTGATATGTTAAGTTGCTTGGGGACCGTCGTTCGTTGTTTCGGGGGAATTAGCACAGAAGAAGTGTTTTTGACCCTTGCGGACCTCTGAAGAATTGGTTGTTCAGAACTAAGAGAGGGTATAAAACACGTCTTGTTTTTTTGCGCTGTTAGTGGCAACATACGAGACCCAAAGGACTATTTCATAGGTTTGTTTGTCTCGTGAGTGGTGAGTGAACGGCCATGGTAAAAGCTTTGTAGACGTTGTAAACCTTTGTAAATTTGTTTGTAATTCAACAACTCTGTCAACTCTTTGCAAAAGTTGCAAACTTTGTACAAATTCTTAAGACTTTGTGAAAGTTTTGTAAACGTTGTATAACTTTGTAAAAATATAAAACTTTGTAAACGTTCTAAAAACTGTGTAAAACGTTGCTCTAACTTTGAGGAATAATTTGAAGAACTCCAAAACTTCGTAAAAGGTTGGTAAACCTTTTTACAAAGTTTGCGAATTGTACAACGTCTTAATAAAGTTTTACCAAGTTCTTACAAAGTTTTACAAGTTTAAAGGTTGACAAAGTCTACAAAGTGTTGACAAAGTTTACCAAGTTTATACCAAGTTCACTACGTTTTTACAAAGCTTTCAAAGTTGGTACAAAGCTTACAAAGTTTTACACAGATTTTATGAAGTTTGCAAAGTTTTACAACCGCTTACCAAATTTACAAAGTTTTTACAAAGTTTACAATATTTTAACACAGTTTACAAAGTTTTGAACAATTTCCAATTCTTACCCAGTTTACAAAGGTTTTACCATTTAAAAATCAATTAAAGACGTATTGAAAGTTTTACAATGTTGCTGCAATGTTGACAAAGCTTTTACAAAGTTTACACAGTTTTGCAAAGTATTGAAAGTTTACAAAGCTTGTACAAAGTTTTTAAAATTTTTACAAAGATTGCACATTTTACAATTTTTACATGGCGTTTTTACAAAGTGTACAAGCATTTGCAAACTGTACACAGTATTTACATAGTTTACAAAGCTTTCACAAAATTTGCAAAGTATATACAGTTTACAGTTTTTGCACAGTATTGAAAGTTTACAACGATTTTACAAAGCTTTGGAATTGGACAAAGTTCTTGCAAAGTTCGGAATTTACACAGTTTTTCAATTTTACAGAGTCTACAAAGTCTCACAAAGTGTTTACAACGTTTTCAACGTTTTTACAAAGTTTACAAAGTTGTACAACGTTTTTACAAAGTTTACAACAGCTTTTTCAAGTTTACAAAGTTTTTACAGAGTTTTTACAAAGCTTACAAGGTTTTTACACAGTTTACAAAGATTTTACAAAGTTTACACAAGTTTTTACACAGTTTACAAAGTTTTTACACAGTTTACAAGGTTTTTACAAAGTTTTTACAAAGTTTACAAAAGTTTTTCAAGTTTGCAAAGTTTTTACAAAGTTTACAAAGTTTTTACAAAGTTTACAAAGTTTTTACAAAGTTTACAAATGGCTGGTGAAAAACACTTGTGTTTACAACAAATGACATGAAAAACACTTCTTTTTAAGCAAAAAATCGTGCAAAAACACTTCTTTCACAGAACTTTACAAAGTTTTACAAAGTTTTTACAAAGTTTACATAGCTTACACAGTTTTACAAAGTTTACAAAGTTTTTACAAAGTTTACAACGTTCTGACAAAGTTTGCGACATTTGCCTTTTGTTACACAAATTTACAAAGTTCTTACAAAGTTTACAAAGTTTTGAAGATTTTTGGAAAGTTTACAAGGATTTTGCCAAGTTTACGAAGTCTTGCAAAGTTTACAGAGTTTCGACAAAGTTTACAAAGTTTTGACAACGATTACAAAGTTTTGCTAGTTTATTTATTTGCAAAGTTTACAAAGTTTCTTTCTACATTTTACAAAACTTTTTACAAAGTTTGTACAGTTTCACAATTTGTACAAAGTTTTTAGGAAATTTACAAAGTGTTCAAAGTTTACAAAGTTTTCACAACGTTCACAAGGTCTTTCAACATGTTTACAATGTTTTGACAAAGTTTACAAAGTTTGCAAAGTGTTACGAAGTCTATAACGTCTTTTTATAAATAGAGTTTACGAAGGCCTACAACATCTAAAAGTTGTTTACAAAGTTTACAAAATGTTAGTACAAAGTGTACAAAGTTTGCAATGTTTACAAACTTTTTGACAAAGTTCACAAAGTTTTGACAAAGTTTACAAGTGTTTACAAAGTTTTGACAAAGTTTTCGCATTTTACAATTTTTTACACAAAGTTTTCGCAGTTTTACACAGTTTTACAAAGTGTACAAAGTTTTTACAAAGGTTTACGAAGTTTAAAGTGTTTCAGTGTTGAAAATTTTAAAATGTTAACAACAGTTTAGGAAGTTTTGACAAAGTTTGCAAAGTTTTTTCAATCTTTACAAAGTTGTTGCAGAGTTTTGACAGTTTACAAAGTTTTAGAATTTCACCAAAGTTTCTACAAAGCTTACACAGCTTTTACAAATTTACAAAGTATTTACAAAGTTTACAAAGTTCTTACAAAGTTTACAACGTTTTGCAAAGTTTTCAAAGAATAAAGTTTACAAAGTTTTGACACAGATTGGAAAAATCCGAAACTTTGTAGAAAGTTTGTAAGCATCAAAAACTTTTGTAAAAGCTTTGTAAAAACGTTCAAACTCAATAACTTGGTAACAACTTTGTAAAATTCCAAAACTTGTTCAAAACTTGATAGATGTCCAAAGCTTTGTTCAGATATCTAAAGGTTCAATACTTTGTAAACACTTCGTAGAATTTAATGTACTGTAAGTTTCCAAAGCTTTGTGAAGTTTGTTATTTCTATTTTTAAACTTTGTAGACTTTGTTAAAACTTTGTAATGCAAAACCTCGGTAAAAAAGGGTTGTAATTCCAAAACTTTGTCAATTTTTTGTAAAGATCCAAAACTTTGTAAACACTTTGTAGGAAGTTTGTTTGAAGACCTGCGAAAGCTGTTCAAGAAGAGCTGATCTTTGGATCAGTGAGACTGCTTGCATTTTGTTTGTTAAAAGAAAAACGGCATTTGGTGCTTGCGCTTTGGGAATTTGTGACTGATGGCTGTAGTGTTTCAGGGTATTGAGGGTGAGAAGAAGGGTCGAATGGTTATTTGTTGTGGAAGTGTTTTAAGACTTGGCCACGGAAACACCAAAACACTTCTTTCATTTTTTCCAAACAACATTGGTGCAAAACACTTCTTGCGAGCAAAAACACTAAACTCAAGCAACTTAACAAAGTGATACTACATTCAGAATTGGTATTCCAACGTTGCATCTAAAATCGAAATCGTTATGTATTTAATCTAATAAATGGTTAACACAGCTGTATTGAAACATTTGGAACAAAATCATGGGTCCATTTGGGTGTCAACCGGGGCCCCGTCGATAGCCCCAAATATGGGCAATTCATGAAACCAAAAAAGTCCGAACCGGTACATGAGCAACTCATGACCAGACCTTCCCCCTAACCCTTCCGCCCTTGCTTTAGAAGGCAACTCATGACCAAACCCTCCCCCTCAACCACTCCTCTTTTTTGAGGCGTTCAACCCGAAAAAAGCCCAGTTCCGAGCTGGACGTCCGAGGAAACCTTTCGGTACTTCTGCTGTGTGTGTCGCTTGCGCCGCTGGCACTGGTGCACACCTTATCGCTACAGGACCTATCGATGGTGGGGGGGAGAGGACAGGAGTGGTGAGGACTGGAGGTGATGTACAGCGGTTTCAGAGTAGATGTCACAATCTCCAAATGGTGGTTTATTTGGAACCCCATATATATATAATTATTGTAAAAGACGTCTTCGCGGTGCCAGTGCCATCTCCTCTGGAAACCACTAGACACCCATGTCTTATGCAAGTACACCTTGCGTAGACCGGTAGCAGGCGCAACTAGGGTGTATCAGTGTATCCCATTACCAGTAACAGTTGGTTAAGGGTCCTTACGGACCATCATGGAACTGGGCCCCGGATATAGGTCCCTTTACTATTGGTTCCTATACCTTTCTCGAGGATGGTGGTGCAGTATGGTGTTAAGCAATGGCAGCTATACATGACCAACCATGAAAAAAAGGTGAAACAACTCAAAACAAAAGCAAATCACGAAAGGTAGCGGTTACGCTACCTGAGTTTTCCTTTTGCTTTAGCAAAAATGTATTAACCCAGAGCTGCAGCCTATCTCTCGGAGAAATGGTCCCCGACATCTTCGTTTGCTGGCCGGGGGGGGGCCCCCCCCCCCCCCTTTCAACTCCACCCTAGCGCGCCTCGGGGTCAACCGTCCGAAAACACTGAAAATATCAGTGTTTTCAGCTCTTCCAGTCCTCAGCAGTGACCAAAAATCATGGAATTTACAGCGTTTTTTGTGGCTGTCCGGCAAAAAACACCGCAAAAACCGATGGTTTTTGATGCGCCTCGGTTAGAAAAATGACCCAAAAAAAGACCAAAAACCAGGAAAGATTTTGTGAGAAAGGGTTTTTGAGGCTTTTGGAGGCTTCAAAATTGCACAAAACTATGGTATTTACAGGGTTTTGTGCACCTTCCCGGCAGAAAACGCCGGTATTTACACGGTTTTCTGCGCTTTTCCAGCGCTCAACCGTGGTGCGCCTTTGGATCGACGGCTACAAAATACCGTAAATACCAGTGTTTTCAGCTCCTCCTGTCTTCAAGCGTGGCCTTAGACCTTGCCGCGGCTGTGGATCGACGGCAACGAAACCTCGTAAATACCAGTGTTTTTGAGCACGTCCTGTTTGCAAGCATGGCCTGCGGCCACGCAATTATAAGGGTCGCCGCACGTCACTATGTAAATCCGAAGTTGCATTTGAGAAATATGTGACTCCTTTTGAAGGCACGTCAACCTGTATTGAAACCGCTAGACCGCTGCAGCTTCTGGAGGTTTTGTCAAGCGTTTGTGCATTAGTTGTTCTTTCATCACGCTCACTCACTTCTCTTCAAACAAGTGGGGGGCCTCTCACCTCCTCCCGGATTACGCCTGATTCCCTGCTACCTTTCGTTCACCCCCCTCCTCTCTCAAGTGAAAGGCAAAGGCAACGCAATGTGCTTTGTTGCATTTGTTTTGCTATGTTTTTTCTTCCTGGTACCACTTCTGCACTTATGAGAACTTTTACCCGTCAGCAATATTCGCCGTACGCTCCTAGGAACAAAAAGCGAAACACATGTGAACAAAGCCGCGTAAACAATGTGAACATAAAGCGCAAAAAAGGAAAACAGCGACACATACGCAAAGCTACATGTTGTTGTTTTTTTGTTTTTTGTTTTTTTTGCTCTAACTATTTTTCGGCTCCTTGTATCTATGGCTGGTGTGCCGAACAGAATGCTAGCATATGCTAATGACTGCTGTCTCCAATCTCTTGATTTGCAAGAAGATGGACTACAAAACCTAGTGCAGCCGCACCCCCGAGACTCCAAGACTAGACCCTTTCCTTCGCAGGCGAACCAATGCGGGCGACAGCTGAGAAGAGCGAAAGAGATCTTGGAGAGTTTGGACTCTGAAGCTCTTTTGCTACCCGTGAGCTGCTGGGCAATGAAACATGATCATCACTTCAGATCATGTTTTTTAAACCACGGTTTTGGGGGAACCCAAGGGAGACGTTTCTGGGTGCTTGAATTCAGATGCACTCAGATTATAGTGTTTGTCTCTTCGCAGTGTTTTGAGAAGTTTCAACCTTACATGGTTGAGAATTGGATAGTTGACAGGGCCGCCATGATGAGTACAGTGGTTTTGGCCCGCCTAGGGGATGTTGGAACAGCAGACTCGAGGAGTTGTCGAGTCTGCTTGCAACCCAGACACTCCATGTATGGCATGCGGCATACTTGCCTACATTGCGATGGTTTCAGAGGTTATTTGATCGGTATTTACCAGCCCCATAGGGATGATCCTGGCAAGGCCTTGGAGTGATGCTACGGAGCCTTTGTTCCAGCATTCTTTGACAGATTGATGACCATTGAAAACACTAGTGTACTGTACAATGGCTATTTATTGGACCAATAAATAGCCATTGTACAGTACGCTAGTGTTTTCAATGGTCCTGGTTAGAAAGGAGCTTCCAAACTGACACCCCCTTTCCACCATAAGTGGAGTTCACCACCTTCACCTTGGGCTCTGAAAAGACGGCCATCCGAGTTGAAACACATGAACCATGCCATCCACGGCTTCGCCACGTCGTGAACCACACGGTTCCCGAGGTCGTCGGCCAAGGTCCTGGGTCCCTCAGGATGGTCCAAAGAGGTTGAGTGAAGTGACCTTTATGATGTAGACACTTGAAAACCATTTGTAAGGGTAATTCCAATTCAAACCCGAGGGGGGGTGATGAAATCAAGAGTCCAGATAAGGGATGGCATAGCTTGAATCAACTCGGTTCTTCAAGCGATGCCGATAGATGTGTCATGCATATTCATGCATGGGGGACACGCATGCACGCGGATCATAGACACGCACGACTCCGTGTCTTCCACGTCTAGCTTGACAATCCAGGTCGCCTTTGCCCAACATGGGATTCCTACCAGGGGCAGCATTAGGCCCAGTGCGGTGTCCCCCGCCAGTTCACCCAAGGCGGGTATCTTCCCAGTGCCCCACCCTGGCTCCGAAGCAGCTGGGCACCGCGGCAGTTGCTCTCCCCACGGGAGCTCATTGCGAGCGGCCGATGGCTGACGTGGGTTGTGTCCATCTTAATTTGCAAAAGGGGTCCCCGCCTCCCTAGGCAACAATTGCGGGTGAGTGAATAGAATCAACAACACCAAAAGGAGTATGGATGCAACATTACAGGTGGGTTTGGAATGTCACCTTGGCCACGTCTTCTTTGAGTGCCATATGTGTGGACCGAGGAAAAGACCAAGGAGGATTTGACCCAGAACCAAATCTCAAAATCTTGAATTTTATGAATTTTATGAATTCTCCAAGCTCAACGTGAAGCCTGGATTTGCTTTGGGGGTTGAATCTGGTTGAGCCTCTTTTGTTTCAGCTACGCTGGCTGGAGTTGACAAAAGAAGGTTGTCACGAAAGCTAGCCTTAGCTAGCTGAAGTTGCTCTTGCTTTGGCAAGTTAAATGACGGGGTGGACGCGCCTCAGAAACCTCAAATAATTGATTAAATCAACCTTATGGACCCCCCCCCCCTCCGGAGGTTCAACTCCCCCCTGCGCGCGGTGAGCGGGTGGATTAGCTGCTGCTGCAGTAGCTGCTGCTGCCTGGTGTGCTCGTTTGCTCCTGCTGCTGCTGCTTCCTGGTATGCTGCTGCTGCTGCTGCTGCTGCTGGATTTTGCTCCTGCTGCTGCTGGGTGGTCTGTCTGCTTTGGCTGCGTCTCCTGCTGCTGCTGCGGGGTGGGCTGCGGCTGCTGCCGCTGCTGTGGCTGCTACTCGGTTTGCTGCTGCGGCCGCTGCTGCTGTTGTGTTTGCTGCTGCTGCTGCTGCTGCTGGGGTTGCTGCTGATCCTGCTGGGTGGTCTGCTGCTGCTGGATTTGCTCCTTCTGCTGCTGGGTGGTCTGCTGCTGCCTTGGCCCCCCCCCCCCTGGAGGATTTGCTCCTTCTGCTGCTGCTGCTGGGGTGGGAACACTTGGACTCCGCATGCGCTCTAAAGCAGTTTTGTCGACCTTTGAGCGTCGACAGTCCGGCTGCACAAGAGCCAACTGACGCCGCCTGACTCCACATCGCAACCAGTCGCGTACGCGGGGTAAGGCGATTATGATGCAAGAAATGCAGGCCCCGGTGAGAGCCGCCTCCCTCTTCGGTAGTTCTCTATCCCTGCAAAGCCAGGGTGGCCTCGCCCTTTCCGGAGAAAAAAACAATATTAATATTAACTCCTTTTTCGTACCAATTTCTTACATTACTGCTGTTCAATTTCGCTCCTGCTGCTGCTGGGTGGTCTGCCTTGGCTGCGTCTCCTGCTGCTGCTGCGGCCGCTGCTGCTGTTGTGTTTGCTGCTGATGCCGCTGCTGCTGCAGCTGCTGCTGGGGTTGCTGCTGGTGTTGTTTGGTGGATTTGCTCCTTTTGCTGCTGGTGGACTGAAGATGCTTGGTGGTTTGCTGCGGCTGCTTGGTGGTCTTTTGCTTGGTTGTCTGCGCAGCCACACCCTAGCATGCGCATGCCTCCCCGCCCGGCTAGCTTTCGTTCACCCCCTCTGGCCTCAAGTTTAAGAATCATAGCCCTTCCATCGGCTCTTTCTTCCTGTGGCAATCATCACTGCCGTAAGTTTATCATCACAGTCATTGCGATGTGTGTTTGTCGACTGGTTGAAGACTTCATGGGATGTTGTTGACACCGCTCTCCTACCGAAGTCCACGGGCCGCTCTCCGACCCAAACTGAACGGGGGATGGAGATGATTGGGGAACTCGGTTCAATCAAAGCGAGAAAAGAGAGGAAAAGTTCGGCTTAAACCCCGTTCAAAGCGAGAAGAGATGAAAATGTTGGCTTAAGCCATCCCTACCCCCCGAGGTACCATTTTCGGGGGGACCTACTGTACCCCTACATAGGTAGGGTACTGATGTAAAACCTTCAGGTTCAGCTCGGGGGTCCGGATTTCGACGACCGGAGCGACCACCTGAGGCATCGTACCTGGCAGAGCTCTCCGACGAGTCGCTGGCGCATGCCGATGCTCGAATGACCCGGTTGGTCGGGAGAGCTCCGAAGACCACGGAGAAAAAAACACATCCAAGAGAGGTAGCCAGTGACCGGGACCATAGGACCCGGTAGCTACCTGGGGTACCCTGGCCTGGGATAGTCGAACTAGGGTTCTTCAACCTGCATGTATTGGATATATATTGAAAGGAAGGAGGTGCCCAGAAGTTCGGAGTTGTGCCCAGAAGTTCGGAGTTGTGCCCAGAAGTTCGGAGTTGTGATCCCTCAAAACTGCTCTCGACAGAAAAAAAAAAGAGCACTTCTCATTTTACATCTTGTCCTTTGATATGCTTCTAGAGTTTAACATGATTGGCACATCTTCCAATAATTCCAGACCCAAACACGACGAGTCTGGGACTGCCATAGGACTGCCGAGAAACGGCCAGGGGTGGTGGTGCCAGGGGGGTCAATGGGGCGGCATATAAGGCAGTCCCATGGAGTGTCTGGGATATCAATTTAACATTGGAATAGAAACATCTATTCCATATGATTCCACATCCATTGATATCTTCAACTTGAACCCTCTCTTGTCCAAATCTGCATGGACATGGTCAACAAAAACTGCACAACTGTTTAGCCAAAGCTGCCAGATCTGTCAGTGCCAACTCCCTTCCTTTGCAGCGTGGGAGGTGTTCGTTTGGCGCTCACGGCGAAACAGCCTACCCTGGTGGAAAGAAGGCACCACCTGCCAGGGCTGGTTGAAGAGGAAAAAGCTGGAGCCTGCCTTCTAATCTCCTGCTCTCTCGGTTTTCCTGGTCTCTTCAATCGGCCTTCGATCTGAGGAAGATCGTGGCTTAGTGGACCTGTTGCTGCAGGATTCCTCAGCCCCAAGCACACTACGAGACACGGCAGCTTTGGGCCGCAGTAATGATAGAGAGAGAGAGAGTGTGTGTGTGTGTGCGTGCCACTCTGATTCCCACTGAACAGAACTGATAGATAGGATCTGATATGATCTGATCCAGTTTAGAATCTAAGCCTCCTGCTGGATTGGAAGTCACAAGATGTTGTTTACTTTTGGACTTGATGCCGCACTCATTCGGATTTCACGAGGGTCCAGACATTCAAGTTGTTGCTCTTAAAACACATCTCAAGACACCGCCTTGCCCCCCAAAACATCTAACGACACCGCCTTCCCCCCTTCTTCCTGTCTCCCTTGGCCACTAGTCTTCCATCTCTGTGAGCTCTTCCCAAGGGGTCCGCGCTGCACGACCTCAACGGCCAGCTGCCGGTCCTGGCGTCGGGCGACGGCGCCCAAAGCACCAGCTATGGCGTGCGAAAGTCAAAGGTGCAGCAGGTGCAGCCGGTGCTGAGGGGATGGTTGGACTGGGGACACCAAGGCCGGAACCAGCAATGAAGTGCAGCATCTACCAGCACCCTGCAACAGGTCTCCTTTGGAGGCTTCGGGTGACTTCAACGTCGCAGGTGGTGACCTGTGAAGTCGGGTGCTGGTAGAGGAAAGGGTTTTTGCACTCCTGCTGGTGCAAAAGAAACCAAAGGAACACCTTTTCCCATTGGTCCCTGGGTTCCGATTCCGCACATCGTCACATGGCAGGCGGGAGTTAGCGGTTTCCGCTGTGCAGTGTGTTATGTCCTCGAAAAGGTGCACCTTCATATAGCATATACCACTGGGTCTTCTTTGTACATACATGGGTATACCTTCTGTTCAGTCTTCTTTGCACACACCTTCGTATAGCAGTCTTCTTCAAAGAAGCTGACACCACTGGGCTTCGTTTTCGGAGCATCACTCGCCACGGACCTCGCACCGGACCTCGCGTCAGATCTCAGGTTGGCAGCGGGGGAAGGCCTAAGTAACAAAAGCTCATCAACAAGTGGACACAAGTACTACAGCCCAGTATACAACCAGATTCACCTGGACTAGCAAGAATCCTGTTTTGCTCAGTGCCCTGCGAGCATTGAACACCAGTCAGCTGGAGCCGGGGAGGGGGCCCAGTGAGCTTTCACCAGGTGGATTGCTTCCTCCGCGCTGCCCAACGCTGCCGGAAGCATTGCGGCGAAGACGTTGGGCGCATCGTGGACGTGGGTCCCCCTGGCAGAAGCGAAGACGTGGGTGGAACGGGTGGAAGGTGTGTGGATCACCTTCTCCCACCGAACTTGGGCGTCCTGGGGAGCACCTCACGAAAAAAAAAAACACAGGTGGAAAATGATGGAACATGGTATATAATAGATGTTGCAGGGAAGTTGATGGAGTCAGCCTGGTACAGGTCCCCGCAAAAAGCTCCCAACTGCTCCATGAGATTCCTCGTGATTCCGGCCGATTGGCGGAGAATCCTGTTTTTCCCAATGAGAGGATTTGCATAGCTTTGGGTTTTGTGGCTTTGCAGCTTTGGATGCTTTGCTCAGTCAGTGTGGGAAACCTTGGGTCCTGTTTTCAGGACTGTCATGGATCACCATTGTGTTTGGGAACCGCCCGTTTTTGACCAGCCGAGTTAGAACAACACACCAAAAAACACGGAAACACAATCACAACAGCACAGACAAACCTTTTTTGTGGGACTCTTTCTTGGGTCTTAGCAACATGTTTTAGCTCTTGGGCCGTCTCTGTGCCAAAAACAGGCTCTGGCTTGGGCGCTTTGACCCGACACCTGGCGCAGCACCTCGCTTTGCCATGTTTGGGTACCTTGGGCGGTGCAGGAGCGTGGTGAACGACGGTCTTGGGCGGTGCAGGGCGACGGTGTTGATCTTCCAAGAGAGGTTAAGTGCCCGTAAATAGGACCCGGAAAACCTGGGGTACCCAACTGAACTAGGGTTCTTCAACATCTGTTGGTTGAGCCAAGAATAAGAGACCTGGACCATCCAACGGGTACAATGGACTATGTCGCTGGAGATCCCGGATAGTAGTGAAGGGCAGTCCAGCAGGACTCCCATTGGATGGTCCAGGTATGTATGTTTGCGCACAACTGTATAATATATATATATATACCACCTTTATTTGTGTGGATTTCACCGGATAACCTACCGAGCCACCTAGTAAGAACCCTGTCCTACCACCCCTGTCCCTGTCATTGTTTTCTGTTGGTCTCAAGCGCCGCGTCCCACCCTCCACATGGCTGCGAGTTGTTGTCCAAAGTTCGAACGGGTTCGATCGGTCGGCAACATTGGAAAATCACACTGGTCAAAATTCTTGTATTTTTCAACTTTCCAAGTTTTTCTTTATCCATGCCAACCGATCCCTCCGATCTGCACGTTCCTTCAACCGTGCTGTCTCGTCGTAAAGGCTATATCGACCAATAGCCAAACACTCTCGAAGCATCCGACCGTCCATGCTCGTAGTCAAAGTATCAGCAAGTTGAGCCTGACTATGCACCCACCTCATCTTGCAGTTCTCTTGAAGACGTTCCCTGATCAAGATGCACTCGAGGGTCGTTCTATATTCCTCACAGCTGGAAGTTGAAGTTCTGGTGGTAATATCATAGACTGATTTACAGTCTGTAGCAACTACTGAAATTGGAGCTGCTGCCAAGATCTGCTCTGGAGCTGCGATATTTATACTAGGATCCTTTGTCCACTCCCATAGTAGGCGTATCCATGAAAGACGATCTAGAGCCCCACTGAGAGCAATGGCCTCTGCACTAAGGGTAGACCTATACAACAACCCTTGGTATTTTTCGCGAA